CGTCCATGCTCCTCCAGCATAATGCAATAGATCGTCTGGCCTGAAGAAGTCCATAGTCTATCAATTTAGTTTTAGTCTGCCTTTGGTTTCCATAGCTTAAATCATCCATCATTTTTCCCTGGGGTGAACCTTTCATTACCCTAGATAGGGGTAAATTGCGATAGTTCTGAACAGTCACCCATATGTTTGTGTGCTGAATGCCAAATTATAGTTGTATTTTTTAAGAAAGGGTTCTTTGTGGGGTTTTTTAAGTGCCTTTATATCCGAAGAGTACAAGAAGGTGTTTAAAGGTAAATCTGGAACAGATTGCTGTTCATTGTCTACCCAGGCTGGAGGTGCCATCGGGGAAAAGTAATGTGTAGCTGATGTTAGTTGGGTGGCCATATAGTACCATCTGAGGTTAGGGACTTGAAGTCCACCTCTTTCATAAGGCAAATAGAGTAGTTTTAAACGCAGCCTTGCCTTTCTATTACACCAAATAAATTGATTAAATAGTTTGTCCATACTGTCATAAAATGAGTCTGTCAGTGGCAATGGAATTGTTTGAAAATAGTATAAAAATTTGGGCAATATTGACATTTTTAATACATTTATTCGGCCTATCTTAGATATGGGTAAATTTGACCATCGATTTAGCATTCCTGTAACTTTTTCCACAAGGGGATTATAGTTTGCTGTGTTTATTTTATTGAGGGATGGGGTGATCTTAATGACTAAATATGTAAACCTTTTTGTATTTGTTTTAAATGGGGTAGCCACAATAGGACTTATTCTTTCTTCTTCATTAAGAAATATTAACTCTGATTTAGAATTATTAATTTTGTACCCTGAAAATTCACCAAACTCTTTTATTAGATTTAACAAATTGGGAATACTGGCCTTCAAATTACTTAAGAAAAATATGTCATCTGCAAACAGAGAAATGAGGTGTTCTCTTCCTCCAATTCTAATGCCTGATATTCCTGTATTTGCTCTAACAGCCATGGCTAGAGGTTCTATTGCCAATACAAAACGCGGTGGTGAGAGGGGGCAACCCTGTCTAGTTGATCGTTGTAAATTAAAAGGTTTGGACATGTTATTATTGGTTAAAACTTGTGCAGTCGGGCCAGTATATAGTAATCGTATCCATTTTAGAAAGGTTTCACCTAGTCCATATTTTGGGAGAACTTCAAACAGGTAATTCCACTCTATTCTATCAAACACTTAACGAGCGTCCAATGATATCATCGCTGTGTCCTTACAATTAGCAACACTGATTTAATGTTGTTAAAGGGTTAATAGTTGTGATGACTTCTTGAAGGCAGAGTTTCAGAAAGAGCAGCAATTCTTAAAGAGACAGAGGCCCAATTTCAAGGTGTTAAATCAGGAAGTAAAATTTATTTTCAGTCTTACTTGATATACATAATACTTTTATTTTATTTATTTTTAATTGAAAGTAACAGTTACTTTATTTTGCTATAAAATGGCACTATATGCTAGGAAAACATAAACACTGCCCCTTTAAAATAACTTAGTCAACAATGCACCAGGTGTTCATATTGTGTCCTCCTGTTTGCAGAACGACGTTCCAGAGGCTGAGTCTGAATGTGATCAATCTTCAGTCGGTGCTGCCAGGTCACTGTGGACCGACCGCATGGCTTTGTCTGGATCCAATGAGCTGATGGTGGAAATGCAGGACTACATCCCATTCAGTTAGTGAACACACACAGCTGTTTATTTCCAGCAGCTGCTTAAAATTAAACAGGGATGTTACAGCTACTTGTCTTCAAAGCCAAACCTAAACTTGTTGGGAACTTCAGAATTTAAATTTTTTAAATGAGAGGCAACGGACCAAAAACTCTAGTCCAGTTTTATCATAGAACCTGAAACAATAAGTACAACAGTGGAGCTTGTTGGAATTAAAAGGAAAAAGACCAGTAGGTTTCAGTTTGGTTCAGAAGGGACAACCCTAGTTTTAAGAGTTATGAATATGTTTGAGCCACTCTAAAAGTCTGTTTCTCTATAAGCAACATACAAGGAAGCTCAGTATTTCACGTGTTAATTTTCTTTCTCTCACATCAGTCCAATGCAAAGCCCGGTTCCAGTCACCCTGCTTCCATGTGGACCAGCCCATCCAGTTGCAGGTGTTCCTCAGAGCTGACTGTCCTCACCCTGTGTCATTCAGCAAGCTTACCGTCAGCCTCAGCAACCAGGTGCCCTCCACACTCTGAAGAAAGCTCATTTTGGTTATTTAAGTTAAGAAATGTATACTGTATAGTCACTGTACTCCACACTGAGCTCTGAGAATAGAATAGAAACAGCCTTTTATTGTTCCACACGGGGGAAATTTAGGTGTAACACACAAATGTTTGTATGTTCACACAAATTACCATTATATACAACTCTTAAGAGACCACTTAAAGTAATCAGTTTCTCTGATTTTCTTTTTATAGATATATGTTTGAGTAAAATGAACATTGTTGTTTTATTCTATGAACTACTGACAACATGTCTCCGGAATTACAAGCAAAAATGTAGTATTTATTTGCAGAAAATGAGACATGGTCAACATAACAAAAAAGATGCAGTGCTTTCAGAGCTCAAATAATGCAAAGAAAACAAGTTCATGTTCATTTAGAAACAACAACACTAATGTTTCAACTCAGGAAGAGTTCAGAAATCAGTATTTGGTGAAATAACCAGGAGGTTTGTAATGGGCTTCAGTGCAGTGGGCTCTTTGTTTTTTTATAAAACTGTATATTACAATATTTAATGATTAACTTTAAAGTTCACCCCTACTTTAAATGTAACACTTTACCTGAATACAAACAGAGTGAGACTTCCTACTGATGCAAACAGTTAGTCAGTCTGGTTTCATCCACAGGAATACAACCAGTGGTGTGTGGTGGAATCGTCAGTTCAGGATAGCATGATGCTGTTACCAAGGAAACCCAGATGCTACAACTTCAGCTTTGTGGCTAAAACTGAAGATGTGGGTAAGAAAGTAGAGGTAAGCCGATGCTTGTACGTATGCGTGTGTATTATGCGTGTGTCTGACAGAGAGGGAAGCTGTAGCAGGAGCCGTGACTGATTGTGTGTGTGCAGATGATGGGTATAGAGATGATGCTAGGCAGCAACAGTGGCCGCTGTGTGTTCCTGAGCTGGAGAGGCGCCGGCGGAGACGCTGCCTCCACCCAGGAGGCCCTGCAGGCCAGCAGGTCGTCACGGCGATGGGGGCGGGGCAACGAGGCACGCCAGGAATTAGACTGGGACAGCTTGACGATGCAGCACAGCACCATGTAATGTCCTGACCTCGGTTTGCTGCAGCACAGTGAGCTGGCTGTTAGCTGACCTGCTGCTGTCTGCTTGTGTCCAGGATCATCTCCAGAGTTCCCAGGATCTGTGTCCAGCTCAGCCACCAGCCTCCTGCACTCACCAACGAGATGTTCTGCATCAGCCTCACCGTCCAATCACAGGAGAACGTCGTGGCGAAGGATGTCAAACTCACTGCCGGTCTCAAACCAGGTTCACTCGTTTATCCTCCATATTTAGTTGTTTGTTTTAAATATCTGAAGTACTGTAAAAATGTATCCACAGTTTTCTCTCCATGCGGTTGTTGTTTATTTTTAAGCAGTTATGAGGCACTGCTCTAGTTACTCAACAGGTTGTTGCTAGGTAACCAAAGAGTGAGCAAGTTAGTTGATGCCACCAACCTAGCTTAACTTGCTGCAAGAGGTTGAGCAGCTAAAGACTTTTCTCTGCATACATCCCCAGAATGCAGTGCGGTTCTGGTTATTAGTTTGGTGAAAATTCAGATTTATTATATGTTGATACTGATCACTTGTCTATTGTGATACATATTTCTAATGACTTATTGTCCAGTCATGTTCAATATGTTAGAAAATGCTTTCTGATGAGGCTCATTGTCAGATTAAAAGCACCTTTTTAAAAATAGTAACCTTTAAGCAGGTATTAAAGATAATTTTCATTAAGTCCGCATTTCTGTTTTTAGAAATAGTTTTTTTATTGGTCTGATTCTAATTTTAAATATGTTTCATTAAATATTAACAGAAAATCATAAATAAAAATAAACGCTGGAAAACATCCATCTGTGTATTTAATCTACATAATGTCTTACATAATGATAAAGTTTCTAAAATAAATATACTTTTCAGTAATATTCTACTTCATTAAATGGATCAGTCAAAGATCATATTCATAACATATTTTGACATCATAAAACAACATTCTATGACTGTGTGAGAATGAGCTTCATTCTGTGTTTTCAGGCCAGGAGGCTGGTTTAGGACATACCACCCATGTGACCCTAGACGGGTCCAGTGTGTCTGACGATAACGCGCCTGCTCTGCTCACCGATGTGCCTCTGGGAGATCTGAAACCAGGAGAGAAGGTACACACACACACACACACACACACACACACACACACACACACACACACACACACACCAAAGGCTTCACAGCTTCTCTCTTCCGGTAACTGTATCTTATGTTTGGCTCTAGCTGGAGAAGTGTGTGTACATGAGGTGTGTGTCGACCGGACCGAGGATCTTCTTGTTCCATGTGGCCTACAGCATCGATACTGCCGTGGAAGGACTACATATTGTGTGCAAATGTCATAAGGTAGAGAGCTTCCTCTGTTCTGCAGTTCAGCATAGGAGAGCATTATTTATGTATTTCAGTAGTTTGATTCAGAATGGGGAATTTACATGGACTCATTGTACCCAGAGGGAAATATTTCATGCTTTTTTTCTGTCGATTATGAAAACTCAGCATTCAGTTTCTTAGGAATTTAAAATCTCTTTAGAGCAATGAGGAGAAGTAACTTACTTTCTGAGAAACTTGAAGCTCTGACTCCAGCTTCTGTCCACAACATGTTTCCTCAGCAGCTTTTTCTACCACACTTTTTCCTTCCACTCGAGTTTACATAAATATGCACTCAGACAGCTCTCTGTAAACAGCCAGCTGTGTTGGCAGGGAGGATTTTTGACTGTCGGTTTTCCTAAGAGGTTCTTAAACGTTTCCATGCCACGGCTCCCAAACAGCTTCAGCTTCTGGCTGGGACCCTGCTCTGATAACCCACAGACAATGTTGCACAATATTTTTATTCACTGTTCAATAATTATTACTTTGGTTTAGCATAAATGAGCAAAACAGCTTGATAAATTTGACTGGCAGTCAATCAGAAAGATTACCACAGCAAATAACTTTTTTATCAAATTATACCTATAATTTTAAGTATAACTGAAAAACAGATTAGATTTTATAAGTAAAAGGAAATTATGATTAAAAGTTTATTGAATTCTTTTTTTTTTTTTTTTTTGTTTTTTCCCTTTTTTTTCTCACCAGTTTTTTGGGGGCCTCCTAGCGCCTCATAGAGGCCCCCACTTTGAAAATTACTGGTGTAGACCAGTAATACCATACCATACCAACTTTATTTATAGAGCACTTTAAAACAACCACAGCTGATACAAAGTGCTGTACATCAAACACAACATTAAAAAAAAACATAAAACAAAAACATACAATTTAAAACTAGATCCCGCTAGAGTTGAAAGCCAAGTAAAATAGCTGTGTTTTAAGACGAGCTTTAAAAGTGGACAGTGAAGGGGCCTCTCTGACCTGCAAAGGCAAGTCGTTCCATAATTTTGGGCCCATGACAGAGAAAGCCCTGTCCCCTCTGAGCTTCCTTCTTGATCTCGGTACCTCCAAAAGCAGCTGATCTGCGGACCTGAGAGACCGATAAGGTATGTATGGGTGAAGAAGCTCAGAGAGGTAAGCCGGGGCAAGATTATGTAGTGATTTAAAAACAAACATAAGAATTTTAAAATGAATCCTAAAATATACAGGCAGCCAGTGAAGTGAGGTCACGTGTTCCCTCTTTCGAGTTCCTGTCAACAGTCGTGCAGCAGCATTCTGTACCAGCTGCAGACATGAGAGCAGCGACTGACTGACTCCCAGATAAAGTGCGTTATAGTAATCCAATCGAGTTGAAATAAAAGCATGGATCACTGTTTCAAAATGCTGCCTGGAAAGAAAAGATTTCACTGACGCCAATCGCCTTAAATGATAAAAGCTGGACTTAACCACGGCTCTGATTTGGCTGTCCAATTTAAAATCACTGTCCACCTTAAAACCAAGATCTGTAATAACAGGTTTAAAATATACCTCCAAAGGTCCCAGGTCAACAGAGGAGGACTCACAGGAGCCACTGGGTCCAAACACCATCACCTCTGTTTTGTTTTCATTAAAATTTAAAAAGTTCAAGGCCAACCAAGCTTTAATATCACCTAGACATGCCAGGAGATGTTTGATAGAATGTACATCCTTTTGCTTCAGAGGCAAATAAATCTGACAATCATCAGCGTAACAATGAAACGAAATCCCATGTTTCCTGAGGACAGAACCCAGAGGCAGTAAATAAAGAGAGAAAAGCAGTGGGCCCAGAATTGAGCCCTGCG